AGGCTGCTGCGGCTGCTGGCAGCAGCAGACACGCAGCTCGGCCGCAGCCCCACAGAGACTCTTCGTGCTGCAGCAATGATTTCCCACTTGCATGCAGCAGCAAACCAAGACAAGGTCTGTCCGGCTTGCTGGCAGCAGGGGCAGCCGGCCATGGAGGCCACCAAGGAGGCCGTGGCCAGGCACCTGCAGCAAATGAGGGCTGCTGCTGCCAGCAGCAGCAGCAGCAGCAGCAGCAGCACTAGTTCGTGCTGCTGCTTTTTGAGTTGCGCAAAATCTGAAAACTCAAAACTGAAGAAAAGCAGCAGACAAATTGAATGAACTTATAGCTGCCCACAGCCCACGAGGCGACACAACCAAAACAATCTTCCTGCTGCTGCTCCTGCTGCTGCTGCTGCTGTTCGTGCGGCTGCTGCTGCTGCTCTTGCTGCTGCTGCTGCTGCTGGTGACTACCTCTTGCTGCGGCTATCTGCATTCTTCTGTAGAGGACAAGAACTGAGGGGCCCCCGGGGGCCCCCGGGGGCCTCACAGTGAAGCTGCTGGGATATTTGGGGGCCCCCAGGGGGCCCCCAGGGGCCCCCCAGGGGGCCCCCAGAGGCCTTCAAAGGCCCCTAGGTGAACCCAGGGGCCCCTGAGGTCCCCCAGGGGGCCCTAAAGGCCCTTAGGGGCTTCTAGGGGCCCCCAGGGACCTCCGGGGGGCCCCGGGGGGCCCCCGTGAGTCTGGGGCTCTGTGGGGCCCCACAGGGGCCCTCAGGAGGGTCTCAGGGGGCCCCAGCAGCAGAGCAGCAGCAGAGCAGCAGCAGAGCAGCAGCAGAGCAGCAGCAGAGCAGAGCAGCAGCAGAGCAGCAGCAGAGCAGCAGCAAAGGATCAAGTGTAGCTTAGGGTGTACGTACACTGGATCGCTTTGCAGGGAGCCCCAAAGAATGGAAAGTCTTTTATATTTGTATTTATTTATTTAGAATTATTAATATGTTTTTAGTCACAAGGATAAAGTCCCTTTTTTATTTTTATTTATTTAAAATTATTATTTTGCTGTTGTGGCCATTTAAGATATGAGGCTGTTTGCCTGAGGGGCCCCTTTGCTAGAGGAAAAGGCGCTGCAGCAACTGCAGCAGCAACTGCAGCAGCAACTGCAGCAGCAACTGCAGCAGCAACTGCAGCGTCAATTGCAGCAGCAACTGCAGCGTCAATTGCAGCAGCAACTGCAGCAGATGTAGCAGCAACAGCAGCAGCAGCAGCAACTGCAGCAGCAACTGCAGCAGCAACTGCAGCAGCAACTGCAGCAGGCCTTCTTCGAAAATGTGAATAAAGACATCCTAAGATGCACATTCAGAAGTGCAGAAGCAAATGCACCTTTTGTGAACATGTGGGGCTGCTGCAGCTTCGAAGAGAGAAATTTAAAAACGAATGCAGCAGCAAATCCAAAAGAAAATAAGTGTGCAGCAGCAGCTGCACACTTATTTTCAGCTGCAGCAGCAGCAGCAGCTGCAGCTGCAGCAGCAGCTGCAGCAGCAGCTGCAGCAGCAGCTGCAGCAGCAGCTGCAGCAGCAGCTGCAGCAGCGCATAGGTGAAAGAACCTAATGTGTGGGCAACTAATAATGAGCAAAAGAGAGAACTGGGAGAAATAAATTTAAACTAATCTAAAATAAATAAAATAAAATAAATAGAATTAATAAAGTAAACAAAAGAAATCCATCGAATCTATTTGCAAATGAGCTGCAGCTATCTTGCTGAAGCGTCTGGACTGCAGCAGCAGCAGCAGCAGCAGCAGCAGCAGAACAGCAGCGCGAAGTGCAGCAGCAAAGAAGCAAAAAGACTAAACAAAGCAAATAAAGGAACTAAACAAAAGAGGTTTTTAGAAAGGCACTCAACGAGAAGCAAGTTTACAAAGAGTTGCGGTCTGTCTGGGCTGCAGCGCTGCTGCAGCAGCAGCAGCAGCTGCTGCTGCTGCTGCTCTGTGCCTCTGTGGCTGCTGCTGCTGCTCTTTTGCCGCTGCATTTGTTGTCCCGCCTTCCTGGCGCCTCTTCGTCTAGACACGTTTTCGCAGCAGCAGCAGCAGCAGCAGCAGCAGCTGCTGCTGCTGCTGCTGGAGGTAACAAGCCAATACGGCTCAACCTCACAGTCTGCTTCTGCCGCAGCAGCAGCATCTGGAGCTGCTGCTGCGCGCTGCTGAAGCTCCTGCCCAGCCTGCTGCTGCCGCTGCTGCAGCAGCGGCAGCTGCAGCAGCAGCCCCCGCTGCAGCAGCAGCAGCAGCAGCTGCTGCTGCTGCAGCAGCGGCAGCTGCAGCAGCAGCCCCCGCTGCAGCAGCAGCAGCAGCAGCTGCTGCTGCTGCAGCGACCCAGACCAGAGACCCCAGAAGGCCGCTGCAGGAAAGACCAGTTCACCGACGCACCGGACGCTGCGCATCCCGCCGCTGCTGCTGCCGCCGCCGCTGCAGCAGCAGCAGCAGCAGCAGCAGCAGCAGCAGCAAACTAGGCCCCAGGCCCCACAAGAATGTTGTTGATGGGAATGAAAACCAACTTCACTACGTAGCCAATAAAGCCCATCAGCAAAAAGCCAACAGCGCAGGCCCAGGCGATCTTTTTGAATTCGCGGGCGTCAGGTTTTGTGCATCTGAAAAAAAAGAAAAATAAAAATAAAATGCAACAAAATGGAAATAAATGGAACTAAATAATCAACTTTTTGCAAATTAAAAACTTATTTAAGTGGTGAGTTTAATGAGGCTCCTTATTTGGTCAAAAAAGGACAAAAAAAGAGCAAAAATGACCCAAAGGAGTTCTTTTTTAATTTTAGTTTGTTTAAAAACAAATTAAAATTAAAAAAGAACTCCAAAAGAATTAAAAAAAAACTTCGAAGACGAAGAGGGGAAATAAAGAAATGAAATAAAGACGAAGAAGGAAATTAAAAAGAAATGAAAGAGACACAAAAAGAAACAGAAGGAAACAGCAGAAATAAAAAAGAACAAAAAGACCTAATAAGGAAATTAAGGAACAAAAAAGAAATAAAAAGAAACAAAAAAGAAACAAAAAAGGAAATGATAAAAAAGGAAATAAAAACAAAAAGAGAACACAAAAAGGCCAAAAAGAAAACAGATAATAAAACAACTAACTGGCAACTAATTAATTCAAGTAATTAATTAATTAAATTAATTAATTAATTAAATTAATTAATTAAATTAATTAATTTAAAAATTAATTTAAATGACTAATTAAATTAACTTAATTAAATAAATAAATTATTTATTTAAATTCCAAAACGCAAAACAGGCGAGCGAGGCGCGGGAAGCGCCGAGTCGCAAGTGGCCGAAAAGAGGTCAAAAAAAGGCGAAAAGAGGCCAAAAAAGCGCAGAAAAAGAAACAAAACGAAATAAAAAGAAATAAAAAGAAATAAAATGAAATAAATTGAAATAAATTGAATTAAATTGGACAAAAACGGGAGAAAAAGGAACAAAAAAGCCGCAAAATTGCAAAAAAAATGCGAAATACCTCCGCACGAGGCGCACAGAGTCCGCGCCGAAGTCCGCCAGCTCTGTCACCCAAAAGCCCAGCGGGTGCGAGCGGTCCAGCAGGAAGCTCGGGACTTTGTTTAATTGGACCATTTTCTGAAAAAAAGAATAAATTTGGACAAAAAAAGAATAAATTTGGAGAAAATAATGCAAAATTAAGACCAATAAACCACTGTTCAACACTTTCCACCCTTTTATTCGCAAACAGCGCCAAAAACCGCCCCAAAACACCCCAGACAGCCGCTGCAGCAGCTGCAGCAGCTGCAGCAGCAGCAGCAGCAGCAGCAGCAGCAACGCGCAGCAAACGCAGACGCCGCAGCAGCGCAGCAGCAAAAGGGGTAAACGGCAGCAGCACGAAAAGGCCAGAAGGCCACAAATGAGAAAATGAAGAAGCAAAAGGGCAGCAAAAGAGACACAAAAGAGCTCTTCTTTAGATGGATCTGCCAAGAATTGCACTCTAGAGCAGCAGCAGCAGCAGCAGCAGCAGGTGCAGCAGCAGCTAGGGGAAAAAGAACAGGCTGGAGAGCAGCTAAGGCGGCACCAGGGCCCACACCACATAAACGTGCTGCTAGTAATGATGCTGCAGCAGCAACTGCTGCTGCTGCTGCTGCTGCGGAGCCAGAGACACTACAAGAGAGCTGCAGCAAACCCTAGCAAAGAGGCAGCAGCAGGCAGCAGCAGCAGCAGACGGCCGCTGCTGCTGGGGCCACGGAGCCAGCGTGCTGCTGCTGCTGCTGCTGCTGCTGCTGCCTAGCACACTCCACTGCTGCTACTGCCGGGGACTGAGGGGCAATTCGGGGCTGTGTTGGTATGCAGAAGCAGCAAACAGCAGCAGCAGCAGCAGCAGCAGCAGCAGCGCGGGAGCGGCGGGGAGGCGAGCAGCAGGTGGGAGACGTGCAGCAGCACTGTTCTTCTACAGAGACAATGGCGCAACAGAAGCAAGGACAGCAGCAGCAGCAGCAGCAGCAACCCCCTTGGCTGCCGTTGCTGCTGCTGCTGCCGCCGCGTGGGAGGCAAAGGGCCGGCGCTTACATGGAGCGTGTCTGCTGCAGCAGCGCAGCAGCAAGAGCCGTCTCGCGAGGGAACGAAGCTATCTTGAGCAGCAGCAGAAAAGAGAAATTGCAATTAATTTAGTTTTGAAGAACAGAAGCAATGCTGCTGCTGCTGCCGCTGCTGCTGCTGCAGCGCGGATGAACAGCAGGGCTGCAGAGCAGCCGCCGCCGCAGCCGCAACAGCAGCAGCAGCAGCAGCAAATGCAGCAGCAGCTGAGCGGCCTGGCCGCATGGAGCCCCGGCAGCAGCTGAGAGCACTATAAATGCAAAATAAATTAAATAAATAATAAATTGAAGGAGACTTAGGACTAATGTATTCCGGGTTTGTTACAGCAACAGCAACAGCAGCAGCAGCAGCAGCAGCAGCAGCAGCAGCGCTGCTGCCGCCTCCTCGCTGGCTGCTCCCAGTTCCGTGGAAGACGCGAGAAGCAGCAGCAGCTACCTTAGGTGTCTCTTGAGCCGTTTGTTGCTGCGCCCTTCAGTCAAGCCATAATTGCCCTGCAGCAGCTGCAGCATCCGTCTTGGTGCTGCTGCTGCTGCGGTCGAGCCGCAGCAGCCTGGCAGCAGCAGCTGCTGCAGCAACAGCTGCACGGGATTTCGATCTCCAGCGGAGGCGGCTTACCTTCAGCAGCAGGCCGACCGGCCACCGAGCTCACCTGTTGCTGCTGCTGCTGCCGTCGCCGCTGCTGCTGCTGCTGCCGCTGCTCTAGCTGCGGCAGCGCCGCACACGCGCGCAACCCCTGGGACAGCTTCCCCCAGCGCTGCAGCAGCAGCAGCAGCAGCTGCAGCAGCAGCTACAGCAGCAGCAGCAGCAGTACTTGCAGCGGCGCCATGGCTTGCACAGGGAAGGGCAGGGGCCTAGGCGGCCCCCCCGTGCTGGCTAGCAGCAGCAGCCGCCGCAGCAGCAGCCGCCGCAGCAGCAGCAGCAGCAGCAGCAAGCTGGCAGGCGGCGTGGGCGAAGCCTTGCTGCAGGGGATTGTCTCTGACGATTTGTTTTTAAATCTTCTTTCCCACGGAGCTGCTGAGGAAGGTAAAGACTGGGCAAATACGTACTGTATCTCTGCTGCTGCTGCTGCTGCTGCTGCTGCTGCTGCTGCTGCTGCTGCTGTTGCTGTTGCTGCTGCTGCACCGTGTTCTGCGACTCCTGCGCACGTGTTTGTGCTGCTACTGCTGCGCTTCCCCGCGCTGCTGCTGCTGCACCAGCAGTTGAGCTCGCTGCTGCTGCTGCTGCTGCCTGCACTTGCAGTTGAGCTCGCTGCTGCTGCTGCTGCTGAATCTAGCAGCAAATGAATAGCTGCTGCTGCTGCTGCTGCTGCTGGATGCAGAAGAAGACTGCTCTCTGTCTCCCCCGCCCTCGCTGCACTCTTTTATGAGCGACGAGGCGGCGCTGCTGCAGCACGACCTAGACGTCCTCACTGCAGCGCAGCAGCAGCAGCAGCAGCAGCAGCAGCAGCAGCAAGGCTTCCTCGGGCCTGCTGCAGCAGACTGCGAAGAGGCCCTCGACGTCAGCCGCGTGCGGCGACTAGTGGAGGACTACTGCGTGCGGTTCAGCTGTCTGTACACCCCAGGTGCAGCAGCAGCAGCAGCAGCAGCAGCAGCACAGCAGCAGCAGCAAGGGCAGAGCAGCTGCAGCAGCACAGCACAGGCGCCACAGCACTAGCCGCAGCAGTAGCGCAGCAGCAGCAGCAGCAGCGCAGCAGCAGCAGCAGCGCAGCATCAGCAAAAGCCTTCTTGCCCGTTTACTTGTGCTGCTTGTTGCTGCTTGCTGCTGCTGCTTCTCTGTGTAGGCCTGGCGCTGATTGCTGCTGCAGTCAGCTGCCTCGCGGTGTTTAAAGGAGCAGCAGCAAAAAGGCGCTGCGAGCTGCTGCATGCTGCTGTGCTGCAGTTGGCGTCTCCTGCGCTGCTGCTGCTGCTGCGGACCAAGGCAGAAGACCTGCCCCACAGCAGCAGCAGCAGCAGCAACGGCGTCGAAGCAGCAGCTGCTTCTGCCTTCGAACAGCAGCAGCAGCAGCAGCAGCAGCAGCAAGACCCGCTCGAATACCCTCCGGTGTCTCGTGCTTTTGCTGCTGCGGTGTACAGGCAGCGCTTGCAGCAAGAACAGCAGCAACTGAAGGGACAGCAGCAGCAGCAGGAGGAGCAGCAGGAGCAGCAGGAGCAGCAGGAGCAGCAGGAGCAGCAGTTAGCAAACGGGCAGCAAGCAGCAGCTCCCGGTGCAGCAACAGCAGCAGCCTCGGCAGCAGCAGCAGCAGCAGCCCCGGGTGCGGTCCCAGCAGCAGCAGCAGCAGCAGCAACAGCAGCAGCTGGGTCCTCCCGGCGTACTTCTTGCAGCAGCAAAAGCGACGAACTAGAAGACGTGCTGCTGGATGATGACCCTCCCCCAGCAGCAGCAGCAGCAGCAGCAGCAGCAGCAGCACACCCCTTGGGCAGCAGCGGTGGTTCCTGCTTCTCGTCTGTAGTGGCTGCTTTGCGGTCAGATGAGCAGCAGCTGCAGCAGCTAGAGCAGCAGCGGCAGCAGCAGCGGGCTGAGATGGAGCTGCAACTTTGGAGTTTGCTGCAGTACCACTACCCAGCGTTGGCGGGGCAGCTGCAGCAGCAGCAGCAGCAGCAGCAGCAGCAGCGGCAGCAGGGTCTCTCGCTGCTGCCGCTGGCAGCACACTGGCTGGGCACGGGCTTCGCTGCGCGCTGCTTCATCACCAAGGCTCCCACAGAAACAGCAGCAGCAGCAGCAGCAGCAGCAGCAGCAGCAACTGCTGCTGCTGCTGCTGCTGAAGAAGAAGAAACTCTGGAAGAGAAGCTGCAGTGTCTCGACACCTTGTGGCGCCACCTCGCCCTCATCAAAGAACCCCACGCGTACGTACACCCCCCGCCAAACCCTAAACCCTAAACCCTAAACCCTAAACCCTAAACCCTAAGCCCTAAACGCTAAGGGCCTCGTCCGCGTCTCGTGGAAGACTCAGCAGCTAAGGGCAAGGCGCTTTGGACTTAGTGCTGCTGCTGCTGCTGCTGCTGCTGCTGCTGCTGCTGCTGCTGCTGCGGTGCAGGGGGCTCATGCTGGTGGTGGCTCTCATCATTGCTAACGGGCCTTCGCTGCGCTGCTGCTCTTCTGCTGCTGAGCTGCTGTCGTTTCTGCACTTTGGCGCAAAGCTTCGCTTCCCTGCTGCTGCTGCTGCTGCTGCTGCTGCTGCAGGCGCAGGCGCCACTGCAGCAGCAGCAGCAGCACAGCAGCCTGTGGCCGCTCCAGCGACTGCTGCTGACTCCGCTGCAGCCGAAAAGGCTGCTGCGGACGCAGCAGCAGCAGCAGCAAAGACGCCCCAGCGGGGAGCAGCAGCAGCAAGAGCCTGGTGGCAGCAGGCGGCGCTTTTAGGTGTACGTACACCTGACTGTCTTCTCAACTTCAGCCTGCAGTCTTCCAGAGGCCCCAGAGACAGTAAGAGCCTTTGCTGCCGCAGTTGCTGCTGCTGCTGCTGGCGCTGCTGCTGCACCCGCAGGCTATGCGTGCTGTGCTGCAGCGTCGTTTGCGCTGCTGCTGCTGTTGCTGCTGCTGCTGCTGCTGCCAACGCGTGCACTGCGACGCCCAAGCAGATTCGCCTCCAGCGTTTTCCTACCACAGCACTGCCTTTCGATGCCACTGCATCTCCCGTCGGTGCCGCTGCTCTTGCTGCTGCTGCTGCTGCTGCTGCTGCTGCTGCTGCTGCTGCTGCTGCTGCAGGCGCGCTGTCGCCGCTGATTGATGGGGCCTCGCTTTGCCGCTTTCTGGTGCTGCGCGCGACGCTGAAGGCGCAGCTGAAAGGTCTGAGGGAGCAGCTGGCCCGCGGAGGCTCTCCAGGGTCTGCAGCAGCGCAGCAGCAGCAGCAGCAGCAGCAGCAGCGGCAGCAGGAGGTGCTGCGGCAGCAGCAACGGGAGGAGTGCAGGGCGCAGCCCGAGGCCGGGCCCACCAACATTTCCCTTCACGGGAGTTTCGAGCAGATGCCGTATATGGCTGACAAGCTGCTTGGGAGGGAAGCAGCAGCAGACGCAGCAGCAGCAGCAGCAGCAGACGCAGCAGCAGCAGCAGGACTGACGGACTCCCCAGAAACGGCTACTACTGATGTAGCCCATGAAAGCTCCGGCAGCAGCAGCTGCAGCGGCGACAGCACCCCAGACATTCCCATGGCTCCCTCGCCTGCGCCGGAGGAGGCTGAGCCCGAGCAGCAGCAGCAGCAGACGCAGCAGACGCAGCAGCTGCAGCAGCAGCTGCAGCAGCAGAAACAGCCGCAGCAGCACGAGCAGCAGCAGCAGCAGCAGCAGCAAGGGCAACAGCAGCCACAGCAGCAGCGCAGCGTCTTGGACTGGCTGGTGCTGGTGCTAGCTTTGCAGCCTGGGCTGCCTCTGACGATTCCCGGTCTGCTGCTCGCCGAACCGCAGCCGCAGCAGCAGCAGCAGCAGCAGCAGCTGCTGCTGCTGGAAACCACTGCCGTGCTGCTGCTGGCAGAAACAGAATTTGTGCTGCTCGACTGCCGCACCTTCGAAGCTGTGCATGCAGCACAAAGCCGCCGCATCCGTGGGGCCATGCCAGTGAGCGGGGACATGCTGCTGTCCTACAGCAAGAAGCAGCAGCAGCAGCAGCAGCAGCAGCAGCAGCAGCAGCAGCAGCAGCGGCAGCAGGACGATAGAGAGGCGCGGGAGCTCGAGGGCCTTCTCCTTTGCTGCGAAATCGTCAGGGGGAAGGCCATCTGCTTGTTGGGCAGCGCAGCAGACCCCAGCAGCGGCTGCGGCTCGCCAGCAGCAGCAGCAGCAGCAGCAGCAGCAGCAGAAGGGTCAGAAGGTGACCCTGCTGCTGTGCTTTCTGGGCTGCTGCTGCAGCAGTTTTTCCCGCGCGTCAGCATTCTCAGCGAAGGCTGGGAGGGTAAGGCTTGCTGCGACGTCAGTGCTGCTGCACTCCAGCAGCAGCAACTTCTTTTGCTGCTGCTGCCACTGCTGCGTCAGCAGCAGGTGGCTGCAGCTGTTTCCCCTGCAGCGAGTGCCTGCCTTTTGCTGCCTGTGACTGAGGGGTCTATTCTCTTCTTTGCTGCTAAGAAAGCCCACGCTGTTGTTATTGCTGCTGCTGCTGCTGCTGCTGCTGCTGCTGCTGCTGCTGCTGCTGCTGCAGGCCTGTGCAGGGCGATGGAGGCGCAGCAGCTGTGTGAGCGCCTCCTCACAGAAGACAACGGCTTCTCGCCGGCAAAGGGCTCGGGCAGCTCAGCAGCAGCAGCAGCAGCAGCAGCGCTGCAGAACTGGAAAGACAGAGCCAGGGAGACAGCAGCAAAGCTTGTCGCCTCCTCGGCAGGCCACACGCAGCAGATCGGCAGCACACTGTAGGGCTGCCAACCTTTTTTTGCTGCTGCTGCTCGTGTTGCTGCTGCTGCTGTTGTTGCAGCTGCTGCTGCTGCTGTTTTTGCTGCTGATGCTGCTGCTGCTGCTGTGCCGCTGACACCCCGGCCGCACAGCTGCTGGGAAAGACTGCTTTTGTTTGGGCTTTAGAGCTGTCGCCACTTGCTGCTGCTGTTGTTGCTGTTGCTGCTGCTGCTGCTGCTGCTGCTGCTGCTCAGACACGCTGCCCTGCAGGCCACAAAGGGCGTGTCTAAAGATTTCGGCAGCAGCCTCCGTGGGGTGCTGCACACTGCAGCAGGTGCAGCAGCAACAGCAGCAGCTGCTGCAGCAGGATCGCCCTCCGGGAAAGTTTCGGAGCCCGCTTTAGGCCCTGACGGCCAGCCAACCGAGCAGCAGCAGCAGCAGGATCCAAAGCAATTGCAGCAGGAGCAGCAGCAGCAGCAGCAGCAGCAGCAAGGCTTCAGGCGAACCAGCTCTGTGGCCAGCACCATGACTGCAGCATCAAGTCTTCTTTCCTCTTTGCTTAGTCGAGGAGCTTCTGGAGGTCCTGAGGCTCTCAAGGTGCCAGCAGAAGCAGCAGCAGGTGCAGCAGCAGAAGCAGCAGCAGCAGCAGATGCAGCGGCAGATGCAGCAGCAGGAGCAGCGGGGCCTTCTGGCAGGCAAGCGTGCAGGGCATGGGATAGCCCCAGCGCCAGCAGCAGCACAGCAGCAGGAACTGACCAATCCTCACCAGCAGCAGCAGCAGCAGCAGCTGCTGCTGCTGCTGCTGCTGCTGCTGATGGATCCTCCCCGGGGGTGTCGCGCGGCGAGGCGCTGCAGACGCTGCTGTCACAAAAGCTGCAGCAAGCCCGGCGGTCTTCTTCGCTGAAGTTGGCATCAATAAGTTGTTCTTTGAAAGGACTTTCTTTAAAACAAAACCTGTCGAAGCAGCAGCAGCAGCAGCAGCAGCAGCAGGACGGCGGCGCGCTGGGGGCGCAGCAGCAAAGCGACACAGCACTCTCGTCGGACCAAGAAACTGCAGCAGCAGCAGCAGCAGACACGCCAGCTGTGCAGCAGCAGCACCAAAACCACCACGATGAGGCTTTTGAGGGCCCCAGAACCGCTGTAGATATTTGCGGATTCCCTCACCGGCAGCAGGTGTGTCTTTGCTGCTGCTGCTGCTGCTGCTGCTGCTGCTGCTGCTGCTGCTGCTGCTGCTAGTCCCATCCCGTTGGGTGCTGCGGCTTCGTTTGCGCTCACCATTCGCAAGTTTTCTGCAGCGCACTTTCAGGCAGCTGTGTGTTGCTGCTGCTGTTGCTGCTGCTGTTGCTGCTGCTGTGCCGCTGCTGCTGCTGCGGCTGCTGCAGGGAGGATTGGCTTCTTCAGTTTTCGCGATTGGCGACAGCGACCAAGAGGATTCACCTCGAAGTTGTGGGGACTAGTTTTGCTGCCGCGTTTCTGCTGTTGCTGTTGCTGTAGCGGTTGCTCCTGCTGCTGCTGCTGCTGCTGCTGCTGCTGCTGCTGCTGGAGGGGCAGCTTGCCTGCGTGCCGTGTGCTGCGGTGTACGTACAGCGGAAGGCCTGGCGCTGCCCCTAGTAGAAAGAGTGGCCCCAGATGCTGCAGGGGGAGATATGCTGAAGCTGCTGCAGCGGTATCAGTCGTTTATCGAGGTGAAGCAACCCCAAACCCTAAACCCTAAACCCTAAACCCTAAACCCTAAGCCCTAGAGTGCGGCTGCGGGTCAGCTGCTGCCCCCAAAGCCGCAGCGTCTCAGACAGCGAGAGAACGAGCCTGGCGCCGCCCCAGCAGGGCAGGGCTTAGGGCTTAGGGTTTAGGGTTTAGGGTTTAGGGTTTAGGGTTTAGGGTTTGGGTTCAGGAAGTGCAAAGCCTTGAAAAGGGCTCAGTGTGCGACTTGATGGAAATTCAGCGGAACATAGGCGACGTGCAAGTGAGTTTTCTTTTTCTTTTTAAATATTTTTAAATCCTTTTAATTCTTTTTATTTTATTCAATTAATTAAATTAAATTGATCATTTAATTGTCCATTTTGAAAGACAAGTTGAAACATGCAGCTGCTCACTTTTCTACTTTCCGCAGCATGTCTGCTGCTGCTGCTGCTGCCTTCTTCTTTTGCTTCTTTGATTTTATTTATTTACTTTTGCTGCATTTTTTAAAGTCTAGTTTATATTTTTAATTGTCTAATTGATTTTAAAAGTTTAAACATTTAAAGTTGCTGCTGCTGCTGCTGCTGGGGTTTCTGGTAGCTGCCGCTGCTTGTTCTTCCTTTTCTGGGGGCGCTGGTTGCTGCTGCTCGTCTTTTTGCTGCTGCTGCTGCGGCGGCGGCTGTGCCTTGTGGCTGCTGCTGCTGCTACTGGGACGCTTGATATCTGCTGCTGCTGCTGCTTATTCTTTCCTTTGCTTCACTTGCTGCTCGTGGGGCCGTGGCTGCTGCTGCCGGCTTCCCTGCTGCTGCTGAGGCCGTTGGCAGCTGCTGCTTGATGCTGGTTTGCTGCACTTGCTGCTGCATGGAGCCCTGGCCGCTGCTGCTCGCTTCCCCGCTGCTTCTGCTGCTGCTGCTGCTGGGGTCCGTGGCAGCCGCTTCTCGATGCTGCTCTGCTGC